TAGATTCGATTTCATGGTAAAATGTTGTGTAAATTCGTTGTACTTGTGAATCCTGATTTATCACCGTATTATTGAACGCGAGAACAAATATGGTGACCTCCAGCATCAATGTAGTTATATCAAGTCGCTGCCGTAAGGAGATATTTCCTTTGTATCACTTACCAACATTGTATTGTACTTCTTTCCTTTATTTTCCTTTACACATTTGGAAACTTGCATGGTGCACTTTCAACCCCACCTTCTCGTACGTAAAATGGGGCACATTCCCAGTAAAAATATCTATTTACACAGAGCTGACAAAATTCGCCTACATGTGTAAATTTATGTTGGGATTTGGAGAAAAAAACTCGTAAAACATACCGAATTTTGGTGTCGATTGTTGGTGGGCTGATCAGCATGTCGGATTATTTCTGAGAACGTTCTTCGTGTGGGAAATCACAAAATCATTAGCACTAAGTAAGCTGGTTTACCTTATTTTTGTGTCAGAGTACCCTGTACAAATGGCATGAATCGACATGCGATGATTACCAAAACAATTTGACAATCGGTGTCTCATTTGTTCACCGCTCCCTCAACACGGTGATTTGTTATGACGGTGGTTTGTTATGAGCGGTATTTTTTCCCAGCCCTTTTCGTCGGAAATTACGAATTCATTGGCTCTAATATATCCTAGTTTACTTTAGTTGTTTCATCCGATTATTCTGTACATTGATTTTACCACAGTCCATCATGATAGAGGGACTGTGATTTTACCTAGCAAAGGAAACAATCGGTGCTTGGCTTTGTTATATTTACACTATTGCAACATCTTATGTGGGCCCCCACAGCGTGAGCCTCGTGTTTCACTATTTTTTTCATTGAATATTACACCGCACGATATCCCTCAAATCGGAAGGCACATTTATTGCTCGAGTTACTGTTCCTATTAAGTGAAGCTGAGATAATTGCTAATTTGCATAACAATTCACTCAGTAAAAAGTTTGCTAATGCTCATAATTAAAATGGATGTAACAGTTCCAAGTTTGAATGTATTATCGTTTTGTAAAAAGTTAAATATAGTGCATAATATGGAGATCCCGTCATTTCTTTTTTTTACCATGTTTCTTTTTTATTATTTATGTACAGCCTTGCTAAATCTTGCTAAGCATTCAAAAGAGAGAATGTTTGTACCTGTTATCTATATTTTAAAATCGTCTTTTGAGTATGTTCCTCTATTCACAATTCTACAAAATGTTAACAGTCTATAGCCAAGACTGTTTGAATAATAAAAAGCAAAAAAAGAAAAATCCACTCTCAAGTGCCCACGAACCTGCATCTCTACCTTAAGATGTTATTGTTCATTTCAGTTCATTACTCATTTGTTTTGAAGTGTCAATGTGTTCAAAATTATTGGGTATTGTATCTACAATTTCACGAAAGGGTTGAATTTCAGTAAACACACTTATTTAGCTGCACATAAGTCGAGTACATTTTTCATGCGATTGGTATTACTTTTACAACAACTATATTTGTCTGTTTTTTATAATCAAACTTTACCTTTTCAATGTATTTATTTAGTACTTACTTGATTACGTGATTTGTTTATTTTATGTTATGATTTATGTACAATAGTACAAAGTGATAAATTATGAAATGCGAGATTTGATATTTACACTTTCATTAACACTTTCTAAAATAATAATAATAATAATGTTTTTACTATGCTATCAATAATGGAAAATGTTGTGATAATTAGCGCTTTTTTAATACATGTTCCTGGTAGAAACACATTTCAAAATGGAATAAACAATACCTTCGATCAAATTCAAAGTTAATTACTGTTATCATAGATGTACGAGCTCGTATCGTATGCTGAAAAGGCTCGTCTCTGGGTCTGATCGTAGTTTGTGCGCAACTGTAGCGTCATTCAAAAGACTTGATCTAAATACAATAACACATCATACACATGCACATGAGCGATATGTGCACAGGCTGGTAACGATAATGGTAGATGTTCATAATTACGTTATACTCACAGGGTTTAATGTCGGCTTGGTCGCCGCTGATTGAGGGTAACACATCTGCGGATAGGCCGCTCCCGGTGTAGGATAAGCGCCACAGCTACCACTGCCCATCGCTGGGTTCCAACCGGCAGGTGACGGATATGCCATGATTTGTAAATAATTATGTATTAATGGAATGGTCTGACCACAAACAAGATTCCAGTATATGACGTTATAGCGAATTTCCGCGGCACTTTCTCGTCACGACCACGTAGTCATAATATTCACACACACCGATTGGATGTATTCATACGCGAGATATTTAAGTAGTTCCTTAGTGTTACCTTTAAAATGAACCCAAATACTAAGAATAGTGTAGTAGTGTTAGTGTTATTACACATTGTGTGCAAATTGTAGTGTCCCTGCCTGGTAAAGACGAGGGTAATTATCCTTGTCGCACGATGTGTTCATACTTTTTGTATTCAAATACGTATGTAATATGCTCACATTTTACCTTTACAGCCGTTCTGAGAATTATTCGGACAGTCAGTTAGCAATATATGTTGGAACTTTGCAAAACACTTGGGTCTTTTCCAATCTAGACTTGATGGCGCCGTTGTATTGGCACGCCCACAATTGGAATCATTCCATTATCTTGCAAGATGCGGGTAAAACGCTGTTTCAAACGACACGCGTTGGTTACCATATACTCACAGGTTATATGTTGTATATGCATTCAAAGTGTTATTTTAAATTGTTATACCCATCTGAGTCCACCTGACATAGCGTAATTTACAAAACAACTCCCGAGTGTTGAGTAACCCAAGGTATTAATGAACTCGTCGTTAGCGGGAAGGCTCAAAGTAAAGTTTCTTAGCGGGACGCGCTGCAGTTTCGCGACAGTTTTGGGCCAAACTAAAAGTTGTTTTTACATTACTGGTGCTGTGAGTATGTCAGGAATACACAGACGGAAAACTCGATTATAATGGTTTGATGGATTTTGTCAAATCAAAAGTCTGCGCCTTCCTTGATCGAATCACTTTTTCAACTGCAGTTTGAAAATGACGTATAACGACCGTTATTATGTCTAGTCCATTTTTGTAACAGGTACAACTGACTAAAATGAGCGAGGAGTTGACATTTTTTGACAGATTTAAGCAACATCCAACTTGTGATTTTCAAAATTACTGAAAATAATTACAATATAATTATAAAAAATAAAGAATGGTTGCTGTGAACGCACGCTAGATAATACTTACAATTCACCAAGCAGACAACCCCTATGAAATAGTAATCCCAAACCACGCGCCCGTCACTCAAGTGGCGCCGACAAGTCTAGATTGGGCAAAGACCAAAGTGTTTTGCAAAGTTGCAAGTCATTTTGCTAACTGACTGTCCGAATAATTCTCAGAACGGCTGTAAATTAATTATTTGCAACCGTTTTGCGATAGTATTTTCTAAATTGAAGGCAGCATTCACAGTTCATTCAAAATTCAAAGTTGCGTTGGGATTACGTTGATACAGTGTAACAATGTCGGCGCTGGTGATCTCTTACCGGTGTGCAACATAGCCATATAAAAAGCATGATCATTTGAACACTGCTATCACAGACTGG